CCACTAGCTTCCTAGACTACAGAAGGCACTCTCAAATGACCACCATAAGAGTATAGGCATCATGACCAGGGAAAATGGCGACAAAGCCGCCGAAATCCAAGAGAGTGCTGAGATTCTTATGGAAACTCACTTCCCAGGTTCTGTTTTTCCTGGAACGACGAACTGGAGGGAAGTACCAACAACACCCTCACAATACGACTGGTAATCTGCTAGTGCAGTAATTGATGAGGACAAGATAAGATGGGCCATATCGGGCTTTTCCCCCTTCAAGTCACCAGGACCTGACGGAATAAGACCAGCCCTACTTCAATGGGGACTGGATATAGCCCTACTTCAATGGGGACTGGATATTCTTATGCCGCACCTGGTTGGAATATTCAGAGCCTCTCTAGCTCTGAGGGATATTCCCAGTACTACTACTCGTAGTATTTATATCCAAATCAGGTAGGATGGACTACACCTTACCAAAAGCATTCCAACCAGTTAGTCTCACATCGTTCTTCTTAAAAACTATGGAGAGGCTATGTAAGCGGTACATAAGAGATGAAGTACTAGTTCACAACGCTTCTTCATCCAAATCAGCATGCATATACTCCGGGAAGATCTACTTATTCGGCCCTTCACCATCTGGTTGGTAGAATCGAGAAATCATTGGACAACAAAGAATACACCCTGGGTATATTCATAGATACCAGGGATCCTTTGATAAAACAACCTTTCCAACAATTATCCAGCAACTACACTCCAGGAATGTACCCCTGGTAGTAGGAGAATGGATAGTCAAGATGATCTCTAGTAGATCAATAAGTATCAATGTAGAAGACATCACAGTGAGAGGACTGATCATGAGGGAATGTCCACAGGGAGGGGTCTTATCACCCCTTCGTTGGAATATAGTTCTTGATACACCTAAACAATAATGGATTCTACATAATTGCATATGCAGTTGACATAGTTATCTTGCAGACCGGCAAATTTGTGAACACACTGTTTGATAGAGCGCAGGATGGGCTAAAGTTAATAGAAACATGGTGTAAGGAACACTCACTGTCGATCAATCCCAAGAAGACTGAGATGGTCCTTTTCGCCAGGAAAAGAAGTTAATCAGGCTTAAAACCTTCCGAAATCTTCAAAAGCAAACTAAACTTATCTGAAGAGGTGAAATACCTTGGTACTATCCTCGACGGGAAGCTAACATGGAACTCTCACCTACAGAGTAGAGCAAAATGAGCATATGTGGCTTATGAGCAATATCGAAGGACAGTGGGACGCGCATGGGGTCTTTCACCCTTTGTGGTCACCTGGATCTACACTGCAATGATAAGACCTATGTTAAAGTACGGAGCCATTGCATGGGGACCGAAAGTTCTACAAGCAACGGTCATCCAAAAATTATATCAAATAGAGCGACTGGCTTGTTCACACATCACAAGAGCCATGAGAACAACATCAACCTCGGCAATGGAATTAATTACTGGTCTGACCCCTCTGGACCTGTACTTTAAGGAGGTTGCGTTAATGGCCATGTTACGATTGGGCGTGGCTGGTGCAAACCTCGAAGAAGGAATAGGTCAATTGAGGCTGAGCCTATGGCGAGAAGCCATAGTTGCAGGCAACCAGTGATGCAATTGAACCCAGGTTTGTGTTTAATAAACCCTAAAAAATACAAATAAAACAGAACACATAGTCAGATGCTACAAATGCAATACACATATATACAGACGGCTCGAAAACCAAAGAAGATGTAGAGTGTACTCCAGATCACTAAGCCTAAGGATTAAGTGGGGAATGGGAAAAAATACCAGCGTGGTCCAAACATCAATCGCCACAAAAGAAATAACCAGGAAAGGAATTTCTGGCAAAAACATAACTATCTGCACTGACAGCAGACAAACCCTATTAGCCTTGAACAGACGTGTAGTACTAGAGTGCCACCAAGATTTAGCTGAAGCCTCGGTAGATAATAACATTATCCTGAGGTGGGTTAAAGGGCACGACAGGAGTAAAGGTAATCGCATTGCCGATTCTTCAGCCAAGGAAGCGGCTGGACTAAGAATTTTAGGACCCAGTGGCACCTACTGCCTGATGACTTCGACAATTGCAGAACTAGCCAAATGTTACACCCATGCTCCATCCCCATGTTACATCCATGGAATCAAAGGATACAATCTTGCCAGGATCACCCTGGCTGTAGGATCACCCCGGCTGTCACCGAATAAAAATCTGGCAATGATCAGGAAACATCTACGTTTAACAGTAGGATTTCTGACTGGCCACTATCAATTAACGAAACACCTCCATAATATGGGGCTAGTGGACACACCTTCATGCAGGATGTGTGAAAAGAAAGATGAGACTGTCAGGCATGTCCTATGCGAATGCCCGAAGTTATCGTCAATAAGGAAGTGTGTGTTCGGCGAGTCTTGGTCTATACCTGCCGATATAAAGGAGACGTCTACCAGTGAACTGTCCACCTTCCTGGAAAGGACAGTATGGACGATGACCTAGAGGGACAACTCCTCGGGAGGATATACAATGGGTCACACTCACCCTCCCTACTCTACAGATACAAAACACAATTTGGAATGTATAGAAATAAAATCCGATTTTTTATTTTTCGGGGGTGTGATTATTTTTTTTTCAATAGACTTTTGTTAATACTGAAAGAAAAATATAGCAATGATGTATTCAGTTCCAAAGTGGTTTTTTGTTTCCTGAATATTAACAGATTTTTTTTTATTTCGGCGTATTTAAAACCCTCTTGGATGGGGCCGAAGAGATTTTCCTTGATACCGAATATAAAATGTAATGAACAAATCATTCATATCAATTTGAAAATGGCTTTTCTTTTCCTTCATATTTCAAGATTTTTTTTCATTTCAAGGGTGTGTTTAATGAACTATTTTGAAGCGGTGTATGAAATAGTGACGCAGGTTCACCACTGAGATTTGTTTTGATCTCAAACTTTGCGTAAAAGTACGAATAAAAAAATCAATTGCAAGATGAATAAGTTAACTCACCTTGTTTGACGCAGAAGGACCTACTGTAGGAGTGGAAGTTCTTCATTACACAAGGAAAAATCGCACATGTAACTTTGTGGTTTCGCATCACGACAGAATTGTATTACAGTTTTTACACCCGATCACGACAAAGAAGGTTTTCTGTCTGGTATCTGCCCCTCTCCTTGAATATATTTCGGAACGACCAATTCGAGGAAACAAACAAAAAGGACAGGATCGGCATGAGTAGATTTTAATAGTAGGAATAAGTAGTAGGATTTCATCAAACTAAGGTTCTAGAAAACAATTCAAATTATTTGCCCGTAAATTAATTCCGATTATATATAAGGATTCACATGTTAGGGAAACCTATAGGGTTTCCCTAACATGTATAATATTCAAAGACCACCGCGTGAATAAAGAAACAGGAGATACGAATTAACTAATATTTTCTTCAATTTTTTGAAGTTTATAAGCATCAGGAAAAACCTCTCTCGGTGAGGAGTTCCAAAGTTAAGCTATTCTAATGAAAAAAGATCCTTGAGAAAGAAAAGTTCGACAGGTCTCCAAGCTCACAACAAAGAGGTGAGAATTCTGCATTGGTCGGGTCATCTGTGTTCTAATGAAAACATATATTATATAAATACAAGGGAAATATACTACCACTTTAGATACATTCTCCTTATTCTGAAGCAAATCTTTGAACAGATTGAGATCTTCTTCAGTTCTCAGAGGTAATTGGAATTGATCCAATATTTATTTCTGTTGTACAGCACCTTCATCTTGCCTGCTCTTCAAGAATTGAAAAACTTAGTGTCCCTATACTCAGACTGCGCAAGAGTTGATGAGCGTTATGTAGACATTAGTAGGCAAATAACGCAGAATTATAGAGAAACACTTTTTTTAAATAATCACAAACAAAGTGTAGATGACAGAATAACCTATTCGAACAATAAATCGAGAACAATTTGGCAAATTATTAACCAAATCCAGAAAAAAGCAAACAATTTTTACAATATCATAATCCATGATGGTGATAAAACTGTCCCTGAAATTGAAATGACCAATAATTTCAATAAACATTTTTCCGTAGCTCATAAACAAGAAGCTGTTGANGCATTATCTATGCTGCGAGGTTGATTTCTTCGAAATGGATATTTCGTTTCAGATACTTTTCGATTGAACGCTGTGTCTTGAAAATCTAAATCATTCAGCTGCTTCAAAACAATCTTCTTTTCTCGGACTTTCCGTTTGTATTCATCAGATGACATTTTATCACTAATTAATTCAACTGTTCAACAATATTGACATACTTTCAAACAATGATATTTCCCCCCTTCCACAATGCCGCGTTTTCGTCCCCCCACTCCCTCCATTTACCACCTAACATTTGGCAACGTTGCACAACCGAGTCAAATATAATCACAACATCCGAAACAACAACAGACTTTATAATTAACTACCTAAATGATGGAAAATCCATGCTACATACTTATAATTTTCATTTTCGTCTTCTCCAGTGACCATTTTTTTATAGATTTGGACTCTACATGATATGGCCATTCCGAATTCACCATTACTTTGCTTCTAACTCAATTTTTATAAACCGGAAGCGTTTGTTTTTCGATGAATTGTACAGATCCGAAACTTTGTCAATTTATATATTTGACACATTCAAGAGGAAGACTAAATCTTCCTCTTTGAAGATGATCACTTGGTGATCGAAACACGTGTCGAGGTGTTAAAAATAAGGATTTGGTGTTGGGAAAAAAACTCCAGTAATATTTATTTAAAAATAAATAAACAATATGACGAAGTTGAATGCCATGATTGAGACTTTTCAAAAAATAACAAAAAAATAGGGGTGGACCTCTTCAGTGGATAACCTTGTACTCTTCTGTGAAATGATAATCCACATGTGCTTTCATTTTTTGGGCTATTAACCCAATTAGTATTTGACTGATAATGGGAGAGTAGTTACCTTTCCTATTTTGACTAGTCTTTGGTTGTAAAACTGGCATTTGTTTCACGCAATTCATATTTTCTTCAGAATCAGAGTCTGAGGAAGATAACGTGCACTTTTCTCCCTGATTCTTTTTTTCTTGTTCTAAATCTGAATTTTAATCAGATGTTGTTTCTGCTTTAATCGCTTTGTCGAGCTGTGGCCAAGTTGTCTGCAAATTCAATGTAAGTTATAGAACCTAATAATATTATTAATGTGTCATACATACCTTAAGCGTTACCAATAATTCGGATGGGCAATGTTTCCCACTCACCGCAAGGACTTTCACATTTGGCTATTAAATTCTTCAATTTTACTCTATGCATTTGATGGCCAATAGCACTGCTTTCAATCCTTTATAATCCATGATTCTGGTACTGCTTCGACAGTGTCACACTCGACACTTTCATAAAAAAAAACACGGTTGACCACATATATGACCACGAGAAATCGAAAATGAATCGAAACAAATGCTTGTGCTAACAAATTTGTTAGGTTTGTTAGGTTATTATTTCATAATTCACAATAATTACCCTCCAAAATGCACAAAACATCCAACGACCAACACAAACACAAAACCGTACCACAGCATAGGTAACAATCAGCATGGACACTTAGCCATGCCGCCTTCGATGTGGAAAAGTATCTAGACGCCATTTTGGGAAGTGACGAAAAGAGGGCAGNAGTGAGTGAATTTTCGTACTTCAGGAAAAAGGTTCATTATAAACAATTTCTCTCTATACTTTTCTGTGCTTTTTCTTCAACTCCTTGCAGTTTTCTTCAAGACACTGCGACTATTGCCATTTTGATGCGACCAAATAGGTAGGTGGGAATGGTCCGAAGAAATATGTCCATAATAATCGAGACCAACATCAAAAATACGATTCAGTACATTCTCAGAATATCAGAACGGAATATTATTAGAATATATCAACTGAATGTTCAAAGGATATTTGTTGCAAAATGAAAATAGTCTATGAACATTCCATCAGAATATTCTGAAATAAGTGTATTTGAACGTTGTCAGAATATTCTGTGCTGTCTGGATTGTATCAATTTCAAAGTGTCTTTTTGTTTCCTTTATATTTCAAGATTTTTTTTTTCATTTCGGGGGTGTGCTTAACCCCCTTAGACGGGGCCGAAGAGAGTTTCCTTGATAAAGAATATACACATAAAGGCATATCAGAAACCCAAAAAGCATAATCACACCACTGACCATTCGGATATTTCCGGAAAAAGAGCTGCTGACTTTGGTTGCTAACAGTGCTAACTTCACACCGGTTTTTTAAAATGACATTTTTCATGAAGAATTTATCAAAGTCTTTTGCATGTATTTACCGGAATAAATCGATAGAGTTTTGTTACTCATTTCCAGAAAAGAGAATGGTAAAATTTTTCCCATTAAATACCTTGAGCTTTGACTCAGTACAAACATTTGAAGGTTATATACTTTGGCTTACATTCTGAGAAAAATAATCTTATTAAAGGCGTCTTTCAAGTTGAGTGTGGTTTTCATTAAAAGATGACTAATATGCATTATATTTCAGATGAGTTCCGAAATTGAAAAAGCTGTGAAAGCTAAAAAAGAAAGAAATCGTGAAACAATTTTTGATAAAGTTATATCTAAAAAGATTCCAGCTGACATTATATTTGAGGACAATCTGTGTCTAGCATTTAATGATGTTAATCCTCAAGCTCCTATACATTTTCTTGTGATACCAAAGAAACGAATTCTTAATCTTGATGATAGCAGTGAAAATGATAAAGAGGTACAATTCAAAGTATACATATTTTTTGTATCAATATATTGCTTATTGTGAAATATATCTAATAGTTTATTTTTATTCTCTAGGTTCTTGCACATATTTTGCTGACAGCCAAAACACTTGCTCAAAAACGATTGCCAAAAGGCTATCGTTTGGTTATAAATAATGGCCCAGATGGTTGTCAGTCGGTTTACCATCTTCATATACATATATTGGGAGGAAGACAAATGAATTGGCCACCAGGATAAAATATCTATGACTTATTGAATATGTAGTTCATTCACAATTAATGAGGAAGAGAAAATAATACTTAACTGTTTACAAAATTTACTAGGTTTTCTTCACTGATTCATAAGAGGGGTTAAATATATGAGAAAGGCCCAAATTTCGAGTTTCAGATAAAAAATATGCACTAAATACAAATCTTTTTTACTTATGCCAATTCAGATCTACCTACCGTTGAAATAACTTAAAAATAATCTAGTACCCAATATTAAGACAGATTATATAGTCATAGGTGTTAGGAATCACACGTTAGAGAGAGAGAGAATATACTTTATTGTCATAAGATTGATCTTGTGGACAAAGTTTCACTTAATCTATAATGCAATTATATGTAACAACAAAGTGCTTATTTTCACTCATACATAAAATCAGTTTATATATATATATTTTGCATTGTCCGATTGCCAAAAAATGGTAGTATCGTCTGCAAATAGTGTGAATTTCCCTGAAATATTTATACTTGTCAAATCGTTGACGTAGATGACACCCTTATGTATTTTTCTAATTTCTGAGCGGTGGTTTGTTTCCACCATCTGGCTACGACCTGACAAATAAAAGGTAAGACCTCGTTAGTCCTTAGCTCGCACAAGTTTCTCAACTTCTAAGAGTTGTCGTTCGTATGGGGGTGACAGTTCATTAATGGAAAAACAGATTTTAAATAGACAGAAATCTTTCATAAAATTCACACTAATTGTATATCACGAACAAGTTTTAATTGTTTGGGATCTACATTTTTCACTTGTTACACCTAAAAGAAAATATTAATTTGAGTACAGATATTATGAATATGTATGTGTAATATGATATCTATGCTGGCATATGAATAGTTTCAATTAAAGCTAATTACTAACTACTCAAGATTTTTTACGCAGTAAGGTACATGAATCCACACTTAATGTATGTCTACGGTAAACTCCAATTTTTCCTACCTGCCACTGTAAAAAAAAGAGTTTTGTCGTGGATTTTTTATTCAGTAACAGCTCTTTTTTTTATGTATTCCAAGTAAAAATTTTCTTTTATCAAATTCATATTAGTAACATTTCGCTCAATTTCACTTAGAGGTCCCTTTGGCATCATAACTGCTAGAAATCCATTCCCTTTTGGATCAGTCTTCAGTAAGTTGGGATATTTTTTAATTTGCTCATTAATTTCAACTAAATATCCTCTAACACCTGCTCGAATGTTAAACATATTAGAGTCACCATCTAGTCGAACTTGACATAATATTGTATCTGGGTGTACCTCTCGAGCTCCTAATTTTCTTTTTCCTTTAGTTTTGATATTTGAACGGTCTGTTTTATTGACAACAAAAGTGACTTCAACAATATCTTTTTCCTTTGACATGAGACTGTGGCCACTTGCTAAGGCAATAAGTAGCAATTTATTTGTGTGAATCCTTACAAGAATGTCGTCATAGACTTTTCGTTTGCCGCTATTGCAGAAATTTATGAAATATCGATCTTCGAAATACCTTGTGTTATAGTATGTGAAATTAATTAAATAATCGGGAGTTATACTTTGTAAAATAGGTGTTGATAGCTCTTGAATTTTTTGTATCCTGAAATCACAATCACTAGAATTGCCGTTAGAGTTATTGTCCATGGGTAAATCTTGCGTAACTATGCTTTCTTCCATTTCTATTAAAACGGTGTCATCAATAAACAATCACCACTGATTTTCTTTTCCTAACCCTCAAATTAAAACTAAATAGGTTTGTTTTGTTTCTCAGTGTTGCCAACTGTATGACCTATAGTCGCTACACATTAACCAAAATTCCGCTACACTGCCATTGTCTAACACTGCTTCATTTCCACTACACTAACGGAATCAGTTCGCACATGCGCCCTATCCAAAATTGAACACCACAGAACTTGTAGTTTATGTACCGTTCAATACCACAAAACTGAACTGTCACTAGTGTCACTTGTTTACTTTATGGTAACTCATGATCACTAAAATGAAATGAATAAAAACACTTTTGTCTAAATACCACTGGAAAATTTTATTTTACGACCGGTTTCGGGTTTGATCCCATTATCAAGTATAAAACTGTGTGCTCTTCGGAAAAGGGTGGAGGAGTAAAGGTGAGTTCATATTAGAACGATTGCGATAATATTTTTGCGGTTCCACAAATTTTCTTCAATTGTCAAAATACCCTGTTCATGTTGAAGCGGGCAATATCTAGGAATTTCATTGTTGAATTTTAATTTTTATTAAATGAACCTGAATGATGACATACGACTCATACGAATTACGACTTTTAAGACCAGACCCCATCATATCAGAATATAGGACTAACAATTTCCTCAAGTTTTGTTTCAGAACATCTTCGAGAAAAACGGGAATCACTCAAATTGCTGACCACCAGATTGAATGAACTTTCAAAACACGTTGCATTTTTTATTTTCAAAAATTGTTTGGCGATTCCAAAACACATGTACGCCCTCAGATGTTCCCCTACTTGGTCAAGTCAGTTAGAGCTTGACGAATTTGATAATTTACTCCGCAATACGACGGAATATCTTACAAATAATCATTTCAATACTGATTCATGGCTCCAAGCAACGCTTCCTGTAAACCTTGGCGGACTAGGATTATGTTCAGCTTCTTCCCTAGCTTTACCAGCTTTTCTGTCATCAGTCAATAGTGTTTCTGATCTGATCGATTCCATCCTTCCTTCCATATTTATCAATATCAAAGACGTTTTTTATGCTGAAGGTGAATCACTTTAGCATGCCGCAACTAATATTGTTCCTCCTACAGATAAAAAGAAAATACAAAGTGCATGGGACCGACCTCTTCTGAACATTATAACTGATAAACTTCTGAAATCTACATGTGTATACAATAAGGCTCGTCTGAAAGCAGCAATGATCACGAAATAACGTGCTTGGTTGAATGCTTTACGTGTTGCATCTCTTGGAACACTATTAGATGATGAATTTTTCAGAAAAGCAGTAGGACTTAGGATGGGTTCATCTATTTGTGTGCCTCATACTTGTGTTTGCGGTAGTATAGTTGATGAGAAAAATACACATGGTTTGAGTTACAGGAGAAGTACAGGGCGTACATCTCGACATCACCAAGTGAACGACATATTGAAACGAGCTATATTGTCAGCGAATGTTCCTGCAATTCTGGAACCCTTAGGTACCAGTCGAGATGATGGTAAACGACCAGATGGTATGTCTCTCATACCATGGAAATACGGTAAACTTGTGGTATGGGACTTCACTGGCGTTGACACGGTCGCGGCTTCCCATCTAGCCGGAAGTTCGAAGTCTGCTGAAACTGCAGCAATGTCTGGCGAGAAATTGAAAAGGAAAAAATACCAAAATCTTGGTAACAACTATCAGTTCCATCCAGTAGCGGTTGAAACTTTTGGTGTTTATGGCCCGGAGTCTCTGTTATACGTTCATGAACTCGGAAGGAGAATAGGCCAAGCAACGAAAGATCACCGTTCTACCTCTTTTTTGATAGAAATAATTAGTATTGTTATTCAACGTGGCAATGCTGCTTCGGTCTTTGGAACTATTCCTCCTTCACATAATTTTGATGTGATCATGCATTGCCCTAACTTCAGTACGGAACTGAAATATCTTCGAAACTAGCCGAGATATGTGGATATTCATCAGTCTCCTATCAAGTGGCTCAGGTCATTATTGCCACCCAAATATGAGTTGCAGTCCTCGTAGTTCTGGTTCCCTTTCAGTGGAAGAGCTTCATGAAGCAAGAGCCGAATCGATCCCTCTACGAAACCCTTCTTCACTTGGTAGGATAGATCGCAGCTTGAGAAATGGTTCTTACGGAGATTCTCTGAAACATGTTCTTCCTTACGAATCAGTAAAGAGTTGTCCTGAAAATCTAGAGAAGAAAATTGGATTGGATAATTTAGGAAACATTTACTACATGAATAGCATTTCACAAGTGTTGTTCATGACGAAGAACTTCAAAAACGAAGTTTTAATGACGAACGAGAACGGGAATGTTTCCTACTCATTCATCAAACTCAAACACCTGTTCATGCAAACTAACTGACTGTTATAAGGAAAAAAGTATAGCTGAGGCACTAGTCAATCTAATAATAACACTGATGATCTTCAAACAAGACTCAACCTCTGACGGAAGTAAGAAACTCTTTGGAAGGTTGGAAATAGATGAACATTTTAATCTAGCAGACCACTATTATTATATTCATGCAGTCATTGTTCACTGTGGTTCTGGCGTTGAATTTGGTCATTATTACTTCTTGGTCAAAGACGAAGCGGACTGGTTTAAGTTTGACGATAGTCGTGTCACGAAGTGTTGTGGCGATCCATTGAATCTATTGGAGCCTCTGGAGACACCCCACATTTTGTTTTATAAGAGAGAGGACATTGGTAAATCAAGATCTCCAGATGATGTGGTGCTGCAGGTTTTTTGTCTCTTCCCGTCAATTTCAACTGCGGTTGCGAGCTATAATTAGATGAACTATCTTCCATTTCCACTGTAATTTGTTCCATAAATTTATAATACTCGAGACTTTTAGTTTCTAGACATTATATGGTTTATGATATGAATGAAAATGGGCCTTATTCAGGTGTCCACTTGAATATTGAATATTTTTCAACATTGCGTATGGAACTTTTCAAGTATTTGTATTAATGTGTCGCTTTCTTGAATGTTGAAACACTGTTATTGCATTGAATTTTTAGACATGGCAACAGAGAAAATTCGGACAAATTACAAATCTTTGACAGAGTAGTCATTACAGAGTTTATCATTGAGTTTTGAAGGTTGGGATTTATTCATTCTATTATTTGTATGAAACATTAGACAATGGAAAGAAAGAAAACTTCTAAAAAACAATTTACAATTTATGTAGATTATATAAAATCACATAAAATATTACTAACGGGAACATGGAGTCCTTCGAATAATCCGGAGGACGTCTGCCGAAAGAAGACTAGGGAAAGCAAAGCTCTATCTGAGCTTGAGGCTGAAATAATTAAGCTGACTGGCCAAGGAGCAGTAACAGGGCTCGACTTGGGTGAACTAGGTCTTAACCCGAGTTGTTCTTCAACGAAAACGACAACAAAGCAGCCAGGTACTTCATATACTCTAGTGAGTACTGTGGTAGGTATATTCATCTTAAAAGCCATTTCTTCAACTCTAAATCGCTTTTACGATATACATTATATTAATTTTAGCACTCTGAAGAAAGAGAGCAATCAGATGAGGAAACAAAACCTGCTTCATCCCCTGAAAACCAACCATCCGCTAGTAAGGGTACAGTTAAAAATAAAAGGAGCAGTCAGTTGAATTTAACATCTGTAAAGATAATGAATGCAATTAAAATAAATTTTGAAAGAATAGCTTTAAGCTATGCTCAACCAGTTAACTTATTTTTTGTTTGTATTATAGAACTCAGAAGAACAAGAACTGGTGATGTTCTTTGTAAGACATATGAAAGTGCGGTAAACATTCTAGTAGCAAAAATGTATGATATAAGAGGTTGCAAATGCCATTAACAGATATTGTGATATAGTAGAAAATAACATTGAAACACACTTATCATTGACCAAAAATGAAATATTAAAAAAAATATAATTCAATATTTTGTTTTAGAACATTGAGAACATTGTTTATTTTAGATAAGGGAGATAGTTTGACTTTTATTTAATAAAAATGTGTTTTTGTTTTATAAAACTTTTTTGTTGAATCTCATATATCATAATAAATTTTATAACTATTCCATTAGTATTTTTTCTGTATTTACTTTTTGTAACAGAAGGCAATCCTTTTAGAGTCAAAAAAATTGATTTACAAACAGTATGTATTGTACATACAATTCTTGGAAAATAGGAACAAAGACTTCACCGAATTATGTGAAGAATTGAACAAGATGCCTGGTGACGCTTGTAAAAAATTTCAAGAATGGCAAGAGGCATTTTGGTGATGGAAAAATTATGTGAAAAGTCAAGGATATTTACATTGATCAGCACCTCACAGGTGGTGGTTTGCCAATTCAATTGCACAATATGGCCGCAATGTGTGAAGTCGCTGTTCTAACGGCGGAGCTAAATAAATTGAAAAAGAATGAAATTATTGAAATATCATTAACTTTCAAGCTGCCAATGAGTGTCACGAATACCCAACTAACTAATTATGTGACAAAATGTGTGAAAATACCAATGATAGGAATATGACAATGAGCACCAACCTATGCAAAAACTGTGAGTCTGCAACGAGTAAAGTGGTACTAATGAAGAATGAGCCTGATGCGGTGAGTAAGCTAACATATCATTTAGAAAAAAGAACCCAAGAACAAGAGGATCTCATAGGTATATTGAAGAATCTTAACCACGAAAAATTAAATTCAGTAGATTACACGCCATCTACAATTAATATAAACAAGAATTCTATATCAAGTGGAAAACATTCACAAGTGTGAACTTGAGAAAATAAGATAAATTGAATATCCACTTAAATACCCTTTTATTTCAATAATAATTAAGAAAGTTACTGAACAACGTAATGTACTCCTATCTAAAAAGAAACTAACAATCTCTCTTCCAAATCTTTCCACCCATACCTTATCTATTTTTATGAATCCTTAACTACCAAAAAAACAATGCTACAAAATAAATGTGTAATTCAGCCCGCAGCCATCATTTGCCTCCATCGTTGCCGTCGACAGTGATGCCAGTTCACACTCGGCCATTCCTGACCAGATGATGGCTGGTATGTTGTAACTGAAACAAAAAAAAAACGTTTTGATCAATTACATCATTTGCTCGAAGGAACCAGAAACCCAATTTGAGATTCCATACCTTCTAAGTAGTACTATAGCTTCGGGACTAAGAGTCCTTTCACTTTCTCATGGCACAGGGACACGTTCCCGACGGCCCAGCGTGGCACAGGGATAC